CGCCGCCGCCGCGGCTGCCGCCGTTGCCTTTGCTGTAGGAGGAGGAGGACGAGGAGGAGGAGGAGGAAGGGCCGGGCGTCTGGGCGAACAGCACACCTGGGGGGAGAGCAGCGTTGGGCAGGGGGGACCCGGCACATCCCTCTGCAGGTGACAATGGAGTGATGCCACGCCGGGACGGTGGCAAAAGCACCGCGCCGTGCCCTACCTGTGTAGACGATACCGTTGATCTCAACCGACATGCTGATGCTGTTGGTGCCGTTGTTGGCTGTGCTGCTGGAGGTGTCCTGGCGGTTCTCTGCGGGGGAGAGAGGAGGTGATGGACCCCTCCGAGGCCCCCGTGCCCCGATCCCACCCTGAACCCCACACTGTGGCACCCACCTGGCGAGCGTGTGCCCTGGCTGTTGATGCGGATGCTCATGGGCAGCTGTGCTGTCATGGCCAGGAGGTTTTGCTGCAGGGCACGCTGCATCAGCCGCTGCTGCTCGTCTGTCACCAGTGCCATTTTCTTCTCTGGGGGTTCCCCTGATTCCAGCTTCTCCCGCAGCTGCTCCAGTGCCACGGCCTGGGCTGCTGCTGCCACCTGCACGGCTGCAGCTTGAGCTGCCACCACTGGGTGTCCGGCCAGTGACACCGGCAGCCGGCTGGGCATGGAGATGGGGATGGGTGCGTCCTCCTCTGTGGGGCAGAGAGTGGGTCAGCCCCCCACCTACACTGCTTCAGACCCCGCCACCAGGAGCTGCTGCATATTGGAGTGGGGTAGGGTGACTGCAGCCCCAAACCAACACAGATGGGGGGTAAATGGACACAGAGCAGCCCTGCGGTGAGGACTTGGGGGTGTTGGTGGATGAAAAGCTGGACACGAGCTGGTGGTACGTGCCCCCAGCTCAGAAAGCCTACAGCACCCAGCACCCAGCCCATGCAGGGGTCAGAGCTGGGTGACCACCACGGTCCCTCCCAGCCCAATCACTCTATGACTCAGTGCAGTGGTCTCCAAAAGCCCCAGGCCCTCAGGGGAACCCAACTTGCTCAGGGAGGGGACGGAGCAGTGCCAGCGGTGCCATCAGCACATAGCAGCTCTTACCTTTCTTGATCTTCTGGACGGGAGCGATGGCACCGCCGTTGGTGGCTGAGGCCAACCCCAGGGCTGGCACTGGCAGCTTGGGTGAGGAGAGGAGCCCATGGGTGCCACCAGGTGAGTAGGTGAAGAGCGAGCTGCCAAATCCCTGCCGGCGGCCCTCCCTTCGGTTGCTGTCAATGGCCGCCTGCAGCTCGTTGGGGTTGCTCAGGCCCCGCTTCTCACATTCATAGGGGTACAGGTACTTCATGTACCTGTGGAACAATGCAGTGAGACACAGCACAGCCCCATCCCCACCCGGTGTCCCCAAATTCCCCCCCCGTGCCCCCCTGGTGCTCACTGGGTGCGGAGCGTGAAGGCCGCGCTGGTGATGGAGGTGGGCAGGTTGAGCCCCTTGGTGATCTCTCGCCACAGCTTCTTGTTGATGACCTCCACCAGGCCTCCCTTCTCTGTCACCAGCATGTAGAGCATGTACAGATCCAGCACCTGCTTGGCCATGATGGGGATCCGGTTCACGGGGGTCCCTGGGGAGGGCAGAGAGTGGGCAGGGGGTGTGCAGGTAGGCAGAGGAAAAGGGGGGTCCTGCTGCTGCCTCTCCCTTCCCCTACCACTCTACTTCCTTCTGTGAGCACCCCCACTTCATCTTGCTCAGCACCATGGAGGAAAAAGAAACTCGAAAGGGGCCGGCCGTGGTTTGCAAGCAGAGGCAGCTGCACCCAGCAACAGCAGATATTTATAACAGCAGCCACGGGGTGAGGGTCGTGCTGTGCTCAGGCTGCATGCAATTGGGGCCCCCCAGTCCCAGCAAGAAGGGAACACGGCTGGAGATGCAGGGAGTCAACAGGAATCACCCAGACCTGAGCTGGAAGGGGCTCGTGGAGCACCCTGTGGGGCAGAGCTGAACCTGGGGGTGCTGGAAGGGCCATGCACACACACACACACGCTTCCCCAAATGCCT